TTTCCTATGTAGATTGAAAATGTTGAAGGCCAATAAAGAAGGGAAACTCATGAAGGCAAAAGATGCAGAATTGGAGCTACAAACACCATAAGGAAGCTCAATCCAATAAGTACATGTGCATATAAATTTTTCACATGAAATAAAAATGAGTCTGGTAGGTAAGAGTTTTCTCTGCTGGACAAACCGATCTCCTTAAAGTTTATCGTCTGTTTCAGGAATCTTGTTCATATCAAGATGTTACTACAGTCCAAAACAAACCAAGAAAGTATATGCAATATATTAGAAGTACGACAATGTAATATATGCAAATGCAAGGTATGAAGACAGCCTGATAGATCATGGGTACAACAGACCTAGGAAATACTGAAGTGTTTATGCGCCAAGTCCCTAAATCTGATGAGGGCAATGACAACATGTTATGCATCACGCACTAATATTTCTGGTTTGAACTCTCAATTTGAGGATGGCCTAAGAGCGTTCAATGGACGATCAACATGCAACTTTGTATGAACACACATGTGAGATCTTTAAGTATGAGTACGCAACAATATTCAGGTAATAGATTGATAGAAGCACTCACCTTTGAGAGAAACCATGCACAAGCAATACTTTTCTCAAAAAGGGACCCTACAAGCTACAACAAGGAAACAATTCGGTGTTGTTTGAAAAGCTATCCTTTGAAGATGAAGTTTCAATGTATACACCATGGTTGAACTATCATTTACTTTGATAAATGTTTTTTTCATGAACAAAACTCATACAGGTATCCCGGTGTCATGTATTGACAAACAAGCCGAGCAAAATTCAAAGTATAGAAGAATCGTTGCGCTATCATATAATTCAAGGTACAGAAATAGGGGCTGTCCAAGTTCTAATGGAGAAGCATATAATTCCAAGTATTTGTACCATGAATATTTCTTTTTCTTCATAGAGAAGCATATTTTGAGCACACAATCTTAATAACCAAAAAGGATGAACAATGAGCTGAGGATATGTAGGTAAACAATGAGCCGAGGAGAAAACAAAAAAGGATGAGTACCTCATCTATCCATGAGTTGTGCCGTGGTTGGAATCCTGCCTTCTCTCTGCAGCAGTAGACATGCACTGTTTGTTTCTACTTTAGTTGGAGCTGTGAAAGATCAAATCATTTGAGAGAAATAGCATAGTGCATGAACAATGTAGCATGCAATAGCTCTTTATCTTCATCGATAAATCATTTAAGAAAAGAGCTCATTGATATATGGCAATATGGCACTAAAATGTATAGACTGCAATCTATTTTTTCATTAATAACATATCCTAATTAAGGATCCATTTCAACTGGTGTGGAAAAGTTATAAAATCTCTCAGACACCATGAGATCACTGGAAGTCATAAGGTGAGCTGATAAGAAAAATCTATGGTTATACATCTTTTATCTGTAACAAATAAAGGGGCGTACCCAATACAGAGAGCTCCCGCTCTATGCGGGGTCTGAGGAATGGTGTCAGTGGCAAGCCTTACCCTCGCCTGTGCAATGTGAGGAGACCACGATACACTATTTATTTGTAACAAATAAATACCGTAACTTTGAAGCTACATGTATTTTCATAAATGAATGCATCCAAGTTCACTCCAACAACTCAATCAATAGGTGAGAATAAATTGGGCAATCACTTTATGGAATGTTTTTCACTCGTGATTGGAGAATTCTAATTTCGCACCTAGATTATTAAAAAGGAAGCATACCTTGCTGCAGGGCTGCATCCCAGTGGCTTATGTCCGCTGCGTGCACGCGTGTCCGTTTCCATTGCCTCACGGACAAGAACGACACCACACCGGTGGACCTGTCAATGGCGCCCAATAACCTGCTCAAAGGGGAAGATAGAGGTTCATTTACAGGGTAACTTAGTATGGTCTGTTATTTTTGGGAATTAGAGTTCAGAGGTTCATTTACAGGGTAACTTAGTATCACCAGAGAGCATTAACTCTAAATTTCTTGTTTCAATCAAACCTTTTCTCATTCAGGTGAAATGATAATACATGGCACATGCATCATAATGTCGTTTTCCTACATGTGCAAGGGACCAACAAATGAAAAGCAAGAAATTCCAGATTAAGGGGCCCCAACCTAGTAATCATCTACCGAACCCAGTAACCCTCTATTTGAGCTGAAGCTAAGCACAACAGTTGGTTCCTGAAAATCCTCAACATCGTAGTAGAATTTACACTATGAAATCTGAACTCCAGCTAATCTACAGCTAAATTTATCAGCGTTATTGCTACAGCTACCAGAACCTAGGCAGGGTGATTATGTGATGGAATGCTTACTTGCAGGTGTCGCCGCTCTTGCCACCGCACTGCTGGACGAAGGATTCGCTCTTGAACTTGGCAACCAAGCAAGGCAGCGACCTCACGTACTTTGCACTCGGCAGGCACCTGCAGTGCATCGATGCCCGCCTGGATCTGCGCCTAGTCGAGCCCATGTCCCGCGGTGTCGAAGAAGGCGAACATGCCGCAGATCCACGGCTCCTGCTTGACCTCCGTCTCATGGAGCACGGGACACACATGCTCTTACGGGCCATGCTTTCCGCGCCGGCTCGAACCCCGCTCTGGCCCCCACGGCCACGGCTGCTACGGCATGGCGCTGGGATGCGGACGCCGGCGCTGCCGCGGGGACCCGCCGCGCGGGCCACCGCGTTGTTCATGGCGCCGGTGGCGGGGCGGCGGCGGAGGGCACGACGTAGGGGTTGTAGCAACCAGATCCGCCCTCCCGCTCGGCCTCCGTCTTGTGGAGCGCGAGCAGCATGCCGGTCATGGTCACCGGCCCTGCCTTTCGCACCGGCTCATACCCCGCTTCGATCCCCACGGCTCCTGCGGCATGGGGCTAGGATGCCGAGGCCCGACCGCGGCTCCTGCGGCGGCCGCACGGCGGGATCTCGCGAGGGGGAGCGCACGCACGGGAGAGCGGGTGGGATTTCGTGAGGGGGAGCGCACGCTCGAGGGAGGGGGAGCGAGCGGGATCTCGCGATGAGAAGCAGAGCTGAATCTCGGGATCTCGGGACGATCGGGCGAGGGCGACGGCGCGGGCACGACGAGCGCAAGGGCAAATCGAGGGGAGGGGGATCGAGACCTAGGGCCGCGGGAGGAAAGGGCGATGGCGAGGACGGCGGCCGCTCGACAGCCACGGACGCTGGACGCGTGAGGGGCGAGGGCGACAGTGGTGCAGGGATGGGGATGGGGAGCGGCACGCGACGCGGCGGCCCGTGGGATCCAGCGGGTCGCATGGTGGGTGGGGGGCGGTGATTGCGGACGGGAGGCGGGTATCGCAGTGGAGGCGGAGCGAAGACGGAAAAAAAATCGCACAAAAAAAAATCGCACAAAAAAATAGCGTTACTTTTGTTCATTTTAATTGCAGAAGATTTGACAAAACAGCTCCCACATATGGGGTAGAGGAGTAGCTATTCGATCTACCGTAGCAACTTTTGCTAAGACAATCTCTTTCTTATTATGTGGCAGTGTGATAAAGTTTTTTCCATATATAATATTATCAAGAAAAGCAGTTAGTTAATAGCCTAATATACGTCATGTTCGTTTGGCTTATAAGTCGTATTTTTTTAGTCAACGAACAGTATTTTTCTCTTACAACAAATTAGTCAACAGTATTTTTAGTCATGGCTTATCAGCTAAGCGAACAGGACAATAAAAGAACAACTTTTTTTGAAGGAATAAAAGGACAACTTAAAACAACACGACCTCAAAATAATAAGCGTACATTAAAGATCAAGCTAGCCTTCTTCTTCCTTCGATTGCCCACTACAGCTAGAAAAATTGCTTAGAAGTAGACCTAAGCAAGAGTTGGGTTAGGCCAGATTCACCCCGGGCTAAAAAAAAGGCTCGACTGATTTTGAGAGAGAAGCACAAGTTTAAGGCCAGTGTATTCTTACGGGAGTTACGGTGCCGCTGTGTATAGGTGGGGCAGAGATTTTCGAGATTTTCTCGACATGCGTGAAAAGATCTTCTTAGACACAATACCCGGGGCTATCTTACACCGTGGGTCTAGTTTTTTTATAATCTAAACACGGTGCTATTGTAGTCAATCTTGGAAATACTACTGGGGCCTTGTTTAGATTACAAATTTTTGTAACCTGGACACTGTAGCACGTTTCGTTTGTATTTGACAAACTTTGTCCGATCATGGACTAACTAGGCTCAAAAGATCTATCTCGTGATTTACAACCAAACTGTGTAATTAGTTATTTTTTTTACCTATATTTAATGCTCCATGCATGCGTTTAAAAATTGATGTGATGAAGAGAGAGTGAAAAACTTAAAATTTAGAGGTGATCTAAACAAGGCCTGGGGAAAACACATTTGGATTTGCCCTCTCTTTTAAAGCTCACCTGATGGTCCATTTGATGTGACCGTGCTCCTGCATGGTTCCAGTAGGATTTAGGGGGTGTTTGGTTCTTTAGTCGCTCCTAAAATTTATGTCACATCAAATATTTAGAGGCTAATAAGGAGTATTAAATATAAATTAATTATAAAACCAATTACATAGATGGAGGCTAATTTCCAAGACTAATTTTTTAAGCCTAATTAATCTATCATTAGCACATATTTGCTGTAGCACCACGTTGTCAAATCATGGACTAATTAGGCTTAAAAGATTCGTCTCGCAAATTAGTCGTAAGTTATGCAATTATTTTCATAATTAGTTTATATTTAATACTCTATGCATGTGTCTAAATATTCGATGTGATAGGAATTTTAGGAGGAGAGGAAGGAACCAAACAGGCCTTTAGGTTTTCTTTTCGCTAAAAAAGAGGGATTTAGGCTAAACCTGAATAGCCCACCTTTTGAAAGCCCACGAGGCCCATATCTTTCCAAAGCCCACGACAAATCATGGACCACTCCATTCATCTCCCGAGTCCCGACCAAATTATCCACACATACGCGCCTCCGGCTCCCACTCCCCCAAGCTCAGACGCCGCGGCGGAGCACCACCGCGGTCGCCCACCATGACCTCCGCCTCCACCTTCCTCTCTCTGCGCCTGCCCACTCCCTCTCCCTCCCACGCCGCGTTCTCCCCTTCCCTCCCCCCGCCTCTGCTCCGGCAGGCGCGTGGCGGCGTGGCGTCCTCGGCGCTGGTGGCGCGGGCGGCAGGGCCAGCGGGAGCGGCGGGGGCTCCGTCTCCGCTATTCAACCCCCGGGGAGACCCGTTCCTGTCTGCCCTCGCAGCCGTCTCACCGGAGGACCTTGCGGCAGCCGCTGGTGGCGAGCGCCGTGGAGAGGACCACCTGCCGTTCCTCGAGATCTTCCAGAACGCCAAGCTCATGGCCTCGCCCGCGCAGGTGAGGGTTCCGCGTTTGTATCGGCTGTGGGAATGGAGCTTCTGTTATCTGTTATGACGCTAGTATTGGCAAGAGGGAAAATTTATGGTTTGGGTATGAGTTGATTGTGCTCGTTCGTGTATTTCTAGCAGCAAATTAAGATAACATTATAGCTTCAGTTTTCATAGTTTTCATGAAGTAACCCTCCCATCTGAAGCCTATCTATAGCAATTCTGATCTCCACACTACCTGACATGTTAAATTAGGTTGGCTATTTGCTATACTTCTAAAAGGTTTTGAATATAGGTTGAGAAATTAGAGGTACTAACTTATCCACACGGAGATATATCAATCATGACACAATTTCAAAGATCAACCTGTGCTAATATTTTCACGTGTACCTTTGCTTCTTGTTATCTGCTGCATGCACCTTGATGATCTTTAGTATTTGTAGTATATATGAATTGCACTTCACTTAATCATATCTTGCCTATGATTTGTGATTGTCAGGTGGAACGGTCTAGCAGCTCATACAGTCAGCACAGGCCTAGAAGGCCTCCTCCAGATTTGCCTTCATTGCTTCTTCATGGTCGAATTGTTTATATTGGCATGCCGGTATGAATCTGCGCCAAGGTTCTTGATGCCAAGTTTCCTTTCATGTTATTACTCTGCATTCATGGATGCCAATCATGGCAAAAAAATAAACATTAGGGAGCTTGGCTAGGCTTGATAAACAATCTGACTTGGTGTTAGATTTAGAGCTATCAGCTATGAAATAGCAAAGGCATGATTGCACGGATTAGATCATTGTAGCCAATATAGTTTGTATTTCGAATATCAACTCCTTCCGCACTCCACATATAAGCAAAGAAGAGCGCATTCCTGTGAGTTCTGGTGGCCAAAAGAGGGTAAAAAAATGATGCATAATAATGTTTTCTCGATTCCTACTGTTGTTTAGTATTACAAAAAAATATTCCATTTGTAAAGGGTTGTTCATATTACCTAATCAGGCTATTCAGATTGCTACCTGATCCTTCATGACTACATGTGAAGGAACCTTTGTGTTATAGGTCGATTGCAACTTACAATAAAATATTATAGGCCTGTTTGGTCTGTGCCCAAACCAACCATGCGAAAATTTGTGAAGCCCCAAGAATTTTGACACAGGTTTTCATTGTTGCAATACTTACTAAAGTTTTGCCAAGCCCGAGCTTTTCAGTCATATCCCTTCACCTTTTTCTGCCAAACTTTGGGCCAGTATGGGCAACCAATTCCTTCACCAAATTTTTCGCTAGCTAAATGTTGGTAGGGCTAGTTTGGGCTCAAATGAAAATAATTCCATGTTTTTGGGAGCAGATATACCACTTGTACATGTGGCTGTTGTTACTATATACACCATGCAAGTTGCATTGAGATCAATACTACCTTGGACTATTAGCTATAAGTTTTCCACCCACCCTCCAGGCACACATCTCAACTCTGGAATCAATGGTGTGGATTGTACCAGCGGCCAAATACAATTGTGCCTATGTTTCACCAATTCTTCACTCATCAAAGTGGATACTTAATTTTGGTATATGAGTACATATTGCTTGTAGCATATTTCTGCCATATTGTTTCAACTCTTAATTTATACAGGGAAATACTCCTTCACATGTATTGCACTGATACTGTGACAAAAGAATGCTCGTTAAATTTCTATTGTTGGTGTTAGTTTGATTCCGCTACACATTCAATAAACATGCCAAGCTTTTTGTAACAGATGCAGAAGAACCTTATTTAAAAACCGATTGATGAACATTGTTCATTTTGATGGTTGGATAAATTTTGTTTTCAGTATACCTCTACTCATTCTATTGTAAACAGTTCGTTCTAGATATGTAACAAAATGGTATGTTTATATCTTTGATTCATAATGCATTTCTTTCATACACCATGCTGTAAGAGTAGAATTGATGATTCTTTCAGCATATTCCATATCTCACATGGTTGTCTTCCATTGTTTTCGTAGTTGGTACCAGCAGTGACTGAGCTCATTGTTGCCCAGTTGATGTACCTTGAATGGATGAACAGTAAAGAACCTGTTTATATATACATCAACTCAACTGGAACGGCTCGCGATGATGGTGAACCGGTAAGCAAGATTGTTCAATTGGTGACTTCAGTCAAGTATCTCCAGTATTGGGGTCAGTACTGGTAGAGTGTGGCTTATTCATGTTCTTCTAATTGGGGTAGACTATAAGGTCTCTTTAGCATTTTATCATGTCGTCATGGTTGCTATATAATCAAATTGTTCTTTAATTGATTGTCTATATTTGTCAGGTCGGGATGGAGAGCGAAGGTTTTGCAATCTATGATGCAATGATGCGTATGAAAACTGAGGTGCTATGCCTTACATTTACTATCTGCGGTTCAGTAGTTCAATGTTGATCATTTGGTACAGATTGATGCTAATCATTTACTGAAACATCTAGTTTATGCAAAGGAGTCCTCAGTGGACATAATTTATTTTTAAAAGAAGAACTTTACCGTGTATGCAATCTCAATCTGCCTAGTTCTGTAGAGATGATTTAATGAATATCTTATTGATCATTTGTTTGAACTGGATGGAGCATCTAAAAAAACCTGACCAGCATTGGAGGAACTAGGTGGCAATGGCATCGTAAATAAGAAGAAAATTAGGCTTCCAAATTTGAGATGAAGAGGACTCGAACTTGGGCCATGGAGGTGTTCACCAGCAGCCCCCACCAACTTAGTTACACCCAGTTCCTGATGGAGCGTGTAAAGGACTAAAGGCAAACTTCTTTGTGTATTTATTTGTTCAACAAAAGAGTGGTCATAAAGGCAAAGTTTGCCCTGTGTGCTTATATTTTGAACTGATCAGCTCCCTGTTTTCATCACCATAAGATTAGGATGGGATGTTTGTATCAAATAAATTTACAGTTTAGCCAAACTTTGCACTAGCGCTGATACCAATAACTTGGCAGATCCCTGTTTCATCAACATAAGATTATGTCCAGATGTTTGTACGAATTGAATTCAGTGTCCAAACTGTGAATTTTGTTAAAATTTATCAATTTTCTACATTTACGGACATCATGATGAGGTTACTATTTGCCATGCAGATCCACACACTTTGTATAGGAGCTGCAGCAGGTCATGCATGTCTTGTGCTTGCGGCTGGAAAAAAAGGCAAACGCTATATGTTCCCTCATGCCAAAGGTGGTAACGTGCTAACTTCCATGCCTGTTTGTTTTGTTGGTAGATACTCGCTTTTGCTCATCATTTCCTGCTAATTCTGGATCATACTATGTCAGCTATGATTCAGCAACCACGTATTCCTTCTTATGGGATGATGCAAGCATCAGATGTTGTTATTCGTGCAAAAGAGGTACGTAGCTATGGTTTCTTTTTTTAGTTGCTTATATTCTTGAGTATTATTTCATATTCTGATGTATGCTAATCAAGTATGTATGAATACATTTTTGAGTTATTTATGTTCACTTTTAGATTTGTGAAAGGTGAACACACATTTTTCAGTCACGACTCATGACCTATCTTCACATTATTATCCTCTGCTTGTAGGTTGTGCACAACAGGAACACGTTGGTCAAACTTTTGGCAAGGCATACTGGAAATGTATGTACAACTTGTTGCATCTTTTTTATTATATATACTCTATATCACTTGTGTTTCTGTCAGTTTAGACATAATTATGTTTTATAACAGCCACCAGAGAAGATAGACAAGGTAATGAGAGGACCATTTTACATGGATTCCTTGAAGGCAAAGGAGTTTGGGGTCATCGACAAGGTATTATTGTTTTTCTTCTTTACCAGTGGCTTCCTGATCTCGATCTAGCTCATGGCATATCTGCAGTGTGAACAAATATTTACTATTATTATTTAGGCAGCATTGCAGACTCTTGGTCCGTTCAAAACGTGTTGATTCTTAAGGTTTTGTGCTTGTCAGATCCTTTGGCGCGGTCAGGAGAAGTACATGGCTGACATGCTCTCCCCAGATGAGTGGGACAAAGTTGCCGGAGTCAGACGTCCTGATCCAATGTGATGTTATACATTGGAAGTTCAACATTTAGTAAGATTTTTCACTGCTCTATGGATGTTATTACAGTCTTCATTTGGATTCAGGGTCACCAAGATTATGAATATTTATTGACTTCTGGTTTGACATTGTGCAGGTTAGGCTCAAAGCTTGCAGGGGGTGGAAACAGCTGGCACTGAACAATAATGCTTGATTATCAATGATAATGGTTGGTAAGAGCCAAGGGATACTTGTTTAATTAGGTAAACTTAACTTAGAGCTCAGGGCTGGGGCTGGGCCATCAAGATGTTGTTAATGGTCTCTGGATGAGAGCAGGCACGTGTTTCTCATGAATTATTGTTGTTCCCCCACATCAATTCTAGTCCAGATTTTGGTATTTATCAGTATATAGTCCACACATTTTGATCGACCCAGTGGTTGAACTAGCCAAGTTCATAGTATTATCAGCACGAGACGCGATGAGCATATGATATATTGTCCTTGAAATTTCCATGGCCATTGCGCCCTTGTCCTTGTGTTCTGGACGTTGGAAATCCTATGTATGGATCATATATGGTTTTCAACCATCAAAGCAGTCTGGTTTGTGTCATTGTTCTTTTATTATTGTTATTATTTCTGACTTTTCTGCTAGACATCTGTTTCTTTTGTGTGTGTGTTTTAGCTAAACTAGAAACCTTCTACATTATATTATGTGAGTAACAAGGTTCACTCGCAGCTGTTTCTTGATGGGTGACGGGTAACGTCATGGCTTTGCAGCTTGTCTTTGTTAAAAGGAGTCTCTTGTTGATCCAGATTTTGCATTATTGGCGGTCCTGCTGAGCCGGATGGCCTTTGGGCTTCCGAAAGGGCCTCTCCAAGTTGCACGAACAAGCTGAGCTAATGCCGTTGTGGTTGCTGCTGTTGATGTTTGGATGTGACATGTGACCGTGGCTTCTGGTTCCGGCAATGCATGGATACCGTCTCCCAATGGACGCTTTCCGCAACGTGATGAGAGATGTAAATTTTGTTGCTGACACAGATAAACGTAAACCTAAACAAATCTGGCTATGGGGCGTGGGACCATGTTGCCCTTCGCGAAGACACCGAAAAATTGTAAAATAGGCGGATGGGCGCCTCAGATGTTTGGCAATTGGATGCCATGAACTGATTATTTGATCCATTAAGAAAGTGACATGGGAAACATCACATGTCCATAATACAATACCAGTCTTCCTATGATAAAAAAAAATCAGTCTTCCTTTGGTATTTGCTCCGGGGACTGAAAGACTATTATTAGACTTAGGTTATCCATAATCCATTAAACTGTGATCACAGTTTGTGTTGCCAAAGTGAAATGAAAGCGACAGGCTAACCTGTTTAAGCGTACTTTGACACTTCGGGCCTGTTCATTTGGTTGGTCTTTTGGTCTTTGGTTTTTGGTTTTTTTTTGGCGTTTTTGGTTTTTTAAGAGAAAACACTGCTGTTATTTGGTTTGGTTTAAATTTTTATTTGAAACCAACAAGCGAACAAGCTGTTCGATGTTTTTTTGAGACCAATCGCTAAACAACTAGCGTCTTCCCTAACTCCGGTGAGAGGCCTGGCAAGGTACGGTTTTGGGGATTCTATGGTGGGGCTTCAAGGTTTGATGGTGAGGTTTTTGCAGGGAGAGATAGGATTAGAAAGCATGTAAGCGGCAATAGGGCAGCCTATTGGCGAAGGTGAGCGTAGAGGTGGCAAGGCAAGGCAATGAGGTGGTGATGATGTCAGGGTTGAGGGTGGTGGTTGTGCTAGAATAGGGTCAAGTGTTGATGGTGTAAGGATCATGTGTTCATGTCCATGTCCTATTGAGGTTTTGATAATAATGACGACAACTCAATAACTATGGCTCACACATGTGTTTGATAGATTCACTTAGATCCTATGGATGCAAGGAAACAAAGGGTGCGGACATTGGAGAGGAAACCATGATAATATCAAGAAAACAATGAAGAAGGGCCTATGGGCCGATGACAAGGGAAATGAATGCATCGAACAAATGGATTTGGGGTCCAGCCAACACAATGGCTAAGAGCAGTGTGCACTTGAATGGACCAGACAGTTCAGTAGTGAATGAATCGAGCGGTGAAGAATCAATGTTTGGTTGAACAACCCATAGAGTGATGTTGTTGGTGACCATTGTGGAGACTAATAGGTCGGATAATCCGCATCTCAAGTAAATGAGAGCGTTGGATAGTCCACATTGTAGTTCGATGAAGCACAAAGCCGAAGTATTGAGCAAATACACTGGGTGGATGGTCTAATGGTGAAGCAAATGGAAGTGTTGGGCAAATGACAAGAAGGCAGCAACTAGTTCAATAGTTATAATGAGCTGGACTATGCGGCGATGACATCTTTACGAGTGCCTAACCGTCTGGTCAATTATATTTTCCAGATTCCAGACTCTTTACAACGATTTGATAACGTGTATGGGCTACATATACTTGGTTCCACTGGCTGTTTGGAGATTGTTCGAGTGCCTTAACACCATGAGAAGCTAGAGCAAGTGTTGGAACACTCTATCCACCATATAAGTGCATATTGGTCGCATCGAAGGCATAAGATGGTGCATAGAGTTCATCTTTGTGAGAGTTAGGCCTTTTAACTTGAGAGTTTGAGTGCATGGGATGTTTTGCCCTTGTAATCTCTATGAGCTAGAGCACTTAGAGCCTTGACATCGATCTCTCTAATGACGCTAACCCTCCAAGTTTGTTGTGGAGCGACAACGATGGTGTGAGTGTGTGCGTGGATAACAACTTGGTGACTAGGAGAGTTAGGCAGGAAGTAATGAGACTTAGTATCTTTTTACAAGGACCGCTAGCAAGATGACTAGAGGGGAAAGGATCTAACTGATATGATCCCGCTAGGGTTTGTTCCCGATCTTTCGATGAGAGGTGTGGGATAACTCGATTGATGGGTGGAGATGACGTTCACGGCCCGACTACAGCCTTCCAAGCTGCGCCTTAGCAACCAATACACCACCTCCAACAGCTGCCGTGATCTTGTGGAGCGTGTCACCGGCCACTAGGGCACTCGTCCTGCAAGCAATCGAAGAACTAGCAAGAACAAGTATAGCAAGTACTGAATTACTAGATGTAGATGAAAGTTTCAAACTCAATCTCAATTAAGGTGGGGTTCCGAAGACAAGAAGACGGGCGGCTGATCCAGCACGCGCGCTTACAAGCAAGTAGCGAGAGCTAAACTTGATCTAAACAAAACCCAACTATTCTTGGTGGCGGCTAAGGAGTATATGAAGGTGGAAGGATGACCACCAGGGTGTTGGGGTCGTTCTCCAACCCTAGGACGCGTCCCTAATGGACCCAACTTGATACACGGCCCATTGGACCAAACTAAGGTGACGCAGCACCTTTGGACTGACAAGCTCTCAGTCGTAATTTCTTCACTTACTTGATGATTAATGTGACGAGCACGGGTGAAAGGTCCTTGTTTGGTTTTGGTAATTGAGTAACAACCTAGGTGGACTAATTGTGTTTATGTGAGATACACAAGTGATTAGTCCACAGGTACATGTGTGTGAGCAACATATGCCATGAAGGTGACAATGGCTTGGAGATGTTGCAAAGCTCACACATGTGATGATGAAGGAGCTTATTGCAAATGAGACATGACATTGAGTCATGTGATCAAGGTGGAGAAGATCAAGACAAGACTTGGCTTGATGGACCGGTTGCAAGCGTGAAAGGCAAGTCAGAGGCTTTGGAGTGATGGACCGCGTGGCGGTGAAGCTTAAGCAAGACTTGGCGCAGATGAACGATGGCAACGGTGAAGAGCAAGTGAAGTCAAGATCGATGAACCAATATGATCATGTGATGATATGAAGTGGATCATATCATTGTTGATCGTGTTGGTGCATGTGTTGCATCGACATTGGAGGAGATGGAATGGAATGTGCAAGGCAAATGTATAACCTAGGGCATTTTATTTCACCGGTCATAGGTGTGTAGAGAAGTTTATGATCGGATTTAGGATAGATGGATGTACTATCAAGAGGGGCAAACTTGTTTGCATATCGGTCATCTAGTGCCACTCGAGTGATCTAACTTTGCATCGTTGCTATGATCGAGTGGCGTGGCAAGTTTGAGTGGCTAATCCTTTGGAAAATGATTGTGAAAATGCTAACACACATACACATGGTGGTGTACACTTGGTGGGGTTGGCACATTTACAAAGGAGATGAAGTTGGAGTTGATGTGGATCAACTCGATGAAGAAATGGAGGCGAAAGGAGAAACTCCATCGGCGGAGTGTCCGCCCGTAGAGTGCGGACAGTCCGACGGTGCCACCAGCACCCTAGACAGAAAAGATGGAGGTCACTGGAAGTGACCGGACACTGGTCTCGGTTGGACCGGTGCGTCCGGTTAGTGGTGGCAGGCAGCGTGCAGCGTCGGTCAATCGACCGGATGCTGTCTCTGGTAGTGACCGGACGCTGGTTGTGAGCGTCCGGTCAGAGCTGACGTATGGTGATGCAGGCAGAGCAGAAGCTGGAGAGTGACCAGACGCTGGTGCTGCGTCCGATCGCGATCGACCGAACGCGTCCGGTCGTGAAATGTCGTTTCTGGAACCTTACTGGAAACGATCGGACGCTGGAGGCTCAGTGTCCGGTCAGTTGAAGCTGCTACGTTCGGTCGACAGATGACCGTTGAGATCCAGTGAACAGTGTTTGAAGGAGGGGGCACGTGGCGTGCATCGCACGACCGGACGCTGAGGTCCAGCGTCCGGTCGATCGGACCGGAGCGTCCGGTCGTCCCGACATTCGCCCAGTGAAGGGGTAACGGCTAGTTTAGCCCCTGGGGCTATAAATAGAAGTGGCCCTCAGCCATGGCTGGAGCTGAGCACCGAAGGGGACTTAGTGTCCATGCTTGTGAGTGCTTGGGAGCCCTCCATCACACATATACTTGATAGTGATCATTCGATTGTGTGAGTGAGCGATTCTAGTGCGATTGCATCGTGAGGTTGCATCGAGTGGCACTA